ATGTAATCCAATCAAACAATGTGTATATATGTGTATGTATATGTATGTGTATATGTGTATATACACATATATGTTGTTATTAAGTAGTTTAAGATCAATATAAATTGGAAATTATCAAATATCAATCTTTAAACTCTTTGTAAATTTTGTAATTATATATATGCTATGTAATTGTCTAATAATAAATAGTTGATGAGAAATATTCAAAATTATAATATATGTATAGTTCTCCAGACACATTACTTTTTTGACAAATTTTCATTTTTATTTGATTTGGAACTGATTTTTCTAGAGTGACATAATAAGTGTGTGTAGATAAGATTGAGTAAAAGAATAATACCTTTGTTCTCTGGTATCATATATATAACCAACGCTAGCATGTACGATTCTTTGTATTTATTTGCTAGATACGTCCATTTTCTTAAGATTATAATTTCATTATCACGTATTATGAGGTTTAATTTTATTAATATTTAACTAATTGTTTTTACGTTAATATTAAATGTCGCACGACGTTTCGATACAATCATTTCAAGGAATAATTGGAAAGGTTGACTCATTTTATGTTGAAAATACGAAATTTTTCTTCGTATAATAAAAAGCTATCTTTTAAAAGCATCAGATATTACTGCGATTAAGACTATCCGCTTCAACATAAAGCACACATAAATAAAGGCTAGAATGTTATTCGCGATTTGACATTCCGCAAAATTCCTCGAAATGCTACACACTATTCAAGTTCGAGAGATTATTAAATGAATCAACAGCTGTTTTTCGGTATGAGATTTATACCAGCATAGATTGCTGTTAAAATTTTGCAAATGATTCTTCAGCGATTATTCTTCTCCAAAAATCAGTAACTGTCACTTCTTACTTGATCTTATTGGGTCTCATGTTTGAGATATAGTGTAAGAATGATTAGTTTATGTGCGCCATCTATCCACTTCTTGGGTCATAACTTTTAAGTCTCGTGTCCACGGGAGTGTCCTGTGTTTGACTACGTTGCAATTAGACACAGCTACTTGCAATTGGACACAGCGACCACTGCCTGGAGATCTTCCACTGGAACCAATCAAATAATTTTATTTAAAATTGGCCAATCGACAATGTAGGCAATCAGGCCCACTCGTGTCCATAATGCTAAAAAGAAAATCTCGGACTGATTGATCACGTTTGACCACATCCCGATTTACCACTCTGATTAGCCACTCACAGGAATCGGCACCTAGAATTTTTCCACTGTTCAAGCGCTGTGAATGGCTAGTAATCAATCGGGACATGGTCAAACGGGTGTCATCCCCTTGGACCGGTCTCACCAACTCCGGTTAATGCTATCGGCCGGTTAATTGGCCAACAGAATTACCGATAGCAAGAAATCCAAAATCGTCTTGGTTTCGTACTTCCTGAAGGCAACAGAGCTCTTCTATTATTCAAATTATTAGTAGGATACAACTAAATAATAAGCTGAGTTTCTTAATAATATTATAATGCAAGGAAAGGAATATTATAAATTGATTGACAAGACAAAATAAAGTATACAAGAACGTTTTTAAAAAAACAAAAATAGATTAATCGTAATCAAATATTCGAGAAATTATTACGATGTTTTAACAAAATCTTATTCTGCTTTATATTCATGACGTTAATTTAAAACGGAATTACTTGTCATGTACAGGCGATCATTTCTCAAAAATTCTTCAACATTTCCTAACCTATTCATGACAAAGAAAAAGTGTGTAGAGTGTGAATTATAATAAAATAAGTATTATATAAATATATGCTTTGAAATATAAATACAATTTGTTTTTTGTTAGAAATGATGGTTTTTATTTTTGCAGTTGGCAGTTCTCATCTCAAATTTAATTCAAATTTAACGTTGTCTAACTAGAGAGAAGCCTAAGGCTGGTGTCCCATGACGCGAATCCACAGCGGAGCGAAACGCGCGAACCAATCACAGCAAAAGAACAGAAATCAAACAGAATGTACGAGTTTTCTTTTGATTCTTTCGCTGTGATTGGTTTGCGCGTT